ATGTTAAAATTTACAGCAAAGCTTTACCTTTCCTGATTCAACTATGGTGGCATTTGATCATTCAATATTTTATACTGTCAAACATTAAATTTTCCATCCAGCCCACTTATCATGACTAGGAAATCTCACAAAACCTGAAATTCAGTAATGATTATTGTCATAACCATCCTTTAGGGAAATTCCAGGCATGTGGGATTCATGCACACCTGGCTTCCTGGGGAGACACATCCCTGTGTGGATCGTAATGGTTCATGGTTTGATGAGTGACAACAACAAGCAAACTCAGCTCTTATTAATTGTACAGGTTTGTTTCTTGATGTCATTGTTTTGTGATGAAGAAAGACTAGTGCTGAAAGCATATAAATGGCCAATACCAAATACATCATTGTTAGTTCCTCATGCCTTATGGAACCTTAGACAGTGACATCTTTCATATTAAGAATAGTTTTACTGGTCTATTGAATATTTTAATTCTGAAAGTATAAGAAAAAAATAGCACGATGAAACAGCATAGTGTCTTCTATCCAAATATGGAATGGTAGGAAAAAAACCCAAAAAACCCCACACAGATACTTCAGCTAAAACCAGAGGAGGGAAATCAAAGTTGGGGAAGAAGGGACCAAGAAGCAGATAAAGGGGTGGGATGGGAGAGGTCAATGGGGGGAAAGGGGAACATATGTAACATTTTCAACAATGAAGATTATAAAAATAAATAAATAAGATAAAATAAATAAGTAAACCTGTCCACAATGTCTCCAGTCACTAGGATTCATTATTTTCCCCCTCAAAGAGCAAAAGGCCATTAAAAGTGGAGACTAGTTTCTTAAGGGGATGGAACTTAAATGTCTGCGGAGCTAAACAGAGAAGGTAGGCAAGTGAAGCCAGCCAGGTAGAGGACAAAACCCACAAGACTTTTGTCTTTTCATAGTTGATAGAGATACGGGTGTACAGAACTCTTCCCTGGCTATAAAGAGAACCACAGTACGGGCGTGATGATAAATGGCAGCTGCTCCTGGGTCTAAGAGTTGGGAGCAATGCAGAGCTGGGACCCTGATGATCTGGGAAGGCCGTGCACACTTATGGGGGTCAGCGTCACTTCCCCTTCAAGCAGCTAACACAAGGCTGCCTCATGGAATGCAAGCCCTTATTCTTCTGGATTTAAGAAAAAGTAGAAATCTGGATTTTTAAGAACATAAAATAATATGATTTTTAAAATGTTGCCTTGATCTGAAAAATGTATGCTGGTCAAGTAAAACATACCCATGGGCTAGCTCTGCACTACTGGTCTATATCCCATTTGTGATCTCTATTTTAAAGAAACAAGGTATTTCTGTGTGTTCATGGTTTCTTGATTCCACTATGATCGAAGAGAAGCACTGGTGAGGTCAGCATTACTAAGATGTTAGTATCAGCCCAATTTCCCAAGAATATAAGGAATGCCACAGTGATTCAGATCAATGTCCAATCAGTTCAAGATTTTATTTTTTAAAAATATATTTTATTGATTTTTTTACAGAGAGGAGGAGAGAGGGATAGAGAGCTAGAAACGTCGATGAGAGAGAAACATCGGCCAGCTGCCTCTTGCACACCCCCTACCGGGGATGTGCCCGCAACCAATGTACATGCCCTTGACTGGAATCGAACCTGGGACCTTTCAGTCCGCAGACCGATGCTCCACCACTGAGCCAAACCAGTTTCGGCCAAGATTTTATTCCTCAGAGTGTCTCCCAGGAAGCATTTGGGAAAGATTTAGACCCTAATCTTTTTGACTCAAGTCCTCAAAAGTTAGGATAGATCCACAAGCATTTCTGATTTTCTTGTTTTTGATTCATAAAACATCTCAAGTGCAGAGACAGTATAAACAACATATCTCCTAGCTTTACCAAAGCTTAACATCATTGTCACTTCAGATATATTTTTTAAATTTAAAAGGGAAACGTGGATCTTGTCAATGCTCTTGGTTACCACTCTTTCCTCAGAGATGCCATCATCTCAAACTTCATGTTGATCGTGTCCATGAATGTTTCCCTAGCTTTAAAAGGTGTCCATGAATGTTTCCCTAGCTAGTTTGGCTCAGTGGATAGATTGTTTGCCTGTGGACTGAAGGGTCCCGGGTTTGAGTCCAGTCAAGAGGATATGTTGGGTTATGGGCTCAATCCCCAGTAGGGGGTGTATGAGAGGTAGCTAATCAACTACTCTCTCTCATCATTGATGTTTCTATCTCTCTCTCCCTCTCCCTTCCTCTCTGAAATAATAAAAATATATTTAAAAATAAAATAAAAAGTGTTAATCTTCCATCCAGTTGCTTAGTCTAAAAACCTGAACTATTTATAGGTGTAGGCACGACCTGAACAACCTTTTAAATTCTTAAATAAATAAATAAATAAATAAATAAATAAAATCCAGGTGTAAGGAGACCACTGACCTTATTTAGTATTTCCACATAATTAAGTTTTCTCCTGGAATAATGATTTTTGCCTTTCCCACCCAACTTGGGTGGGATGACAAGAAAATGTAATAATGAGAACAAATATTCTTTGGCTAAAGATAAAGCATTACCCACATGCAAGGTTCTAGCACTTTTATTGATGAATTCCTTCTATGTCTCACTCCCTTCACAAGAACTAGTTTATTTTATTTGTTCTCAGTCTGAATTGAGGGAGTGGCTCCCTATTCTTCCTGAATAGGAGCTTTCCTGGCCAGCCTGAATTCATAAACTTTGATTAAAACCCTTCTCAGCCTTTGTCTATTTCCCCCCAAATGAAAAGTATTCTATTGCAATTTTCCAAATTGTTTTTTTTTTTTTTAAAGCCTTTTCTAAGTCTCTTATATATTTCTGGAGGCACAGTAGCCAAAATTGCCTACAGTATTACAGGTGTAAAATGTTTTGCTTAGGTGAAGATGTATTCAAGCACTTGAACATAATTACACGTAAGTAAACAAAAAACAACACAAAACAAAACCCATCCATATCAAAACCACAATGAATACCACCTCGCACTCATTAGGGTGGCTACTTTCAAATGACAAATGTGGATGAAGATATAGAGAAATGGATACCCTTGTACACTGTTGGTGGGATTGCAGAATGGTGTAGTTGTTATGAAAAATATTATGGTGGTTCCTCAAAAAATTAAAATAGAATTATCAAATTAGCCATCAATTTTACTTCTGGGCATATATCCCAAAGTATTGAAAGCAGGGTCTCAAAGAGATGTGTTGTTTAAACTATCTCTGCACTTAAGATGTTTTATGAGCTCGTATTCAATTCTGGGAATGATCTTAGCTTTTTCAGACCTTTCTGGGTCTATTTCAAGTTTATTTAGCACCTACTGTCTCTCCAGCACAGTCTCAACATCAGGATTGCCACATAAATACACCCCTGCCCTCTAGTTGCTCACAGTCAAGTGGCAGAGATGGGGATGGAAGTTGGGGGTTGGGAGAGGGGGGGGGGATTAAGGGCCATGGTGATGCACAGGTAAGTTCCATGGACCCTGCTGGAGGGGAGGATGGTTTTAGTGAGGAAAGGTCCCTCCAGGGCAAGGCATTGAACGGAATCACAGAGAACAGAGAGGGCTTCTCCAGGTGCAGAAAGGGGGAAAAAGACAGTGGGGACCACATGTGCAGAGGCATGAAACACAGGTGAGGGAGATGAAACAAGATTCCTTCAGGGAAGTTGTTTCATGGAGCACAGAGCAAAGTGGGGGGAAGGAAAGGAGCCTCATAGACACAGGCAGGAGCCAGATGGCCCAGGGCTTGGCGATAGCCAAAAGGACAGAGATGAGAGATGTTAAGGAAGGCGCATTCAAAGGTGTTTACATCATTCTACTTGCTCTGCAAGTGATTAAAACCTGAAACCACCGGCCACGTACACACTAAAGTCATACCTGCAAGATGTTTCACGTTGGCATGGTGCCCGAAATCTAGACTCTCGTTTAAAACATGAAGTGAGAAAGAGCAAGTGCTGTGGCTCATTACCCCTGCTGGCTGCTGGTGCATTTGCTTCCCTCGGAACCCAAGGAGTTAACGTCAATGGAATTCCATGGTTTGGATTCCGATTGGAAATCAAAGTTCTCTTCCCTGGAGATCAAGCTCCCGCACGGAGGGTTTTCTCTTCGAGGACACTGAGCCAGAGGAGCCCTGTCGTGAAGGCAGGTGCTCTGCTAGTGCCACGTCCAGAAGATGCCAGCGATGTGAAGCTGAGTGCGCTGGACAGAGAAGCCTAGCTGAGCGATGCCCAGCAGTGAGGAATCTGGCCCAGGAATGGAAACGAGAGGTGGTGACAACTGGTGAGGTCAAGTTTTTTTTTTTTTTTTTAATCTGTCCTGGGGTCACCTGGAAGAACGTGACCCTCGGTGTACAGACAAGACCACGGGGCTGGGCCAATAGGGAAGGTGAGAAGATAAGAAACCCAATCAGCTGAGACAGAGCTAAGCTGGTACCCGGATGTTGGCAGGCCCTCTAAGTGCTCTCGTGTTAACCCAGCTGAGCTAAGTCTTCAGAAAGGCATCACATCTTAGGGGGCAATAGTGAATTACTCTCAGAAAGTATGTAAAATACTGTAAATGTCAATTACCAAACAATGATTACAGGCTGTGAATAAATCATTCACGCTGATACTAACAAACCATGGAATGTTCCTCAAGGATCTATCTGGGTTCATATAGATCACATAGAATTCCAATCAGAATGTCATACTCTTTGAAACAACTTTGCCCAAATATTAAAAAAAAAAAAAATTGACCAAGAGTTCCCAAGGTCCACCATCAAATCCTTGACTTCTATAATATTTAATATTCTATAATATTTAAGCCCCTCAGACTGCTTCCAAAGTTTAAGACCAGAAAAGTAATGTTGAAACACAAACCGAATGCCTTATCCTCCCTACAAGCTCATTTTTATAATCTAGGTCATTGGTTAAGAAGGGAGAATGAAGTGCCAAACCCAGCGAGTCATCTGAGCAAAAAAGACTAACAAGCGAGAAACATCGAGGGTCTCACCCAGCTCCACATCCTGGTCGTCGGTGAGCACCAGGATAATGTTGGGCCGGATGTTCTTTCGCTCCTGCGGGATCCGTCCCCTGAACCTCGGGGACCTGACGGTGGATCCGAGGCTCCCCAGCAGCTCGGCGCCCAGCACGGCCAGGACCAGAGCCCAGCGAGCACACTTCATCCTGTGGGGTCCGCTGTCGCCAAGCTGGCAGCGTGTCCCAGCCTCCTCGCTGCCGCAGAGCTGAGCAGTCAGAGAGAAAGCGAGAGGGAGAGACTGAAATGAGATCCAAACCCAAACACAGTTGCAGGAAAAGGGCTTCAGCGAAGGGAGACCTGGCACACTCGCCGGCAGGGAGCAGGCTGCACAGGAGTCAGAAGCTGCAGGCGCTGGGTCCTTTTTTTTTTTTTTTTTTTTTTTTTTTTTTTTTTTTTTTAAAGCACTTGATTATTTTGCAAATTCACTTTCATCCTTTCGTCTCATTCCAACTTTTCCTATTTCGGTTCATTGCCAAAATCTCACTTCTTCCAACACAGGGCTCGAATGCAAAAGCTTTCTGACAAGGGCTGATACCTTGAATTAGGTATCCTGGTTGAAAAATCAATCTCTCCACTCAGAGGTGTTCAGAACATCCGCGGATGGGCTCCTGCAACATGGGAGAGAGAGATACAAAGGAAACGTCCGTCAAGGATTTTGAAACAGGTTCTTGATCTGAATTAGTCTCTTAAAACATATCTATATCTCTATCTATATCTAATATTTTTTTCCATCTGCATGCCAGAAGGGAGAGACAGAATTAAATAAACATTCAGAAATGCTAACAAATGACTTCAACATCTTCATTCCCATAACCAGCTCCATGAACGTCTCTAAGAGTATCAACCCATCTCACTACCCTCCCCCCCAATTGCACTTTAAACATTCCCTCCAAACTGAAGACGGGTCAGGAAGAGCCAGAGGTGCCTGTGAAACACAGTGCATCTGCACAGAGCATCCACGGGGGGCTGGGGCGGGGGGTGGGGGTGGGGTTTGTGTTGGAGGCGCGTTAACTCACCTGCACAGTCAGACACTGCACACTTATCAAGTAGAACGCAATGCAAAGCTGTCATCTGTCATCTGCATTATGTCACTCACTACCCAGGAGAGTTCTTTTTTTGCTGACAAAGACTTCACAGAAAGGAGGGCACATTTTCCCAGCCTCTGAAAACCTCCTAACTGTCCTCCATCCATCACCAGGGGGAGAGGCGCTTCCCGGAGCAGGGCTGGTCCCTCGGTCCGGTCCAGCCCGCGCCCTCCGCGCTGGCGCCTGCGGGGACAGAGCCCTCCTTTGGCTGTCAGCGCCGGCCCCGCTATTATCAGGACCCGGTGCAGCGCCGCGCCGGCACACAGGCTGTGCTTTGCGGCCGCAGATCTAAACCTGCAAAGCAAAGTGATTGATGGGCTCCGAGGCCCGGGGTGAGAGGCTGCTCTCCCACGTGAAAAAATAAATACAATCCAGGGGGAGCACTGCGAGATCCTGGCCAGGCTGTAAAGAGGGGAGAGTCTGCAAGGGCCGGCAAAGCCCCTTGGACTTGGGAACACAAACTTGCCACAAGCGTTTCCCTTGGACTTCTCAAAGATGGCAAAGGGCTCATTAAAAAAATAAAATAAAAAAAAGAATCTGTCACTTGGATGCCATGAGGCAGCATCTGCACGGGGATTCAGGGTGCCCTCACATCGACGAGGTGGCAGCCCCCTTCATCCGCACCTCTGTCCCCACACACCTGAGGGTGTGTATTTTGATCTGCATCAGTACACTGGCATCCGATAAATAACCATAACGGGTTAAGTGTGGGATAGCGTCGCAGGAGGGAAAAGCCTCCATCGCCCACTTCCACGCCTTCCTGGAGGTGGCATAGGCCGTGGAAGAAGGACCGTGTGTGTGTGTGTGTGTGTGTGTGTGTGTGTGTGTGTGTGTGTCCCCGCCACACACAGCATTTTGTTTACATAAACACACTCCCCTCCCCATTATTTTAAACTTCATGAGCTGTTTTGTAAACAGTTCTAATGCTTTTCACTCTGCAGCCTGTAATTAGAGAGAGAGAGAGAGAGAGAGAGAAAATGCAACTCAACAAGAAATAAGCTTTTAAATAAAAATCTAGTGTCTGCAGCAAGGCATCCTGACTCCATGATCTGCCAAGCAACCATCAAGCCACCTCTGATGGTCCCTGTGGCTGTAAGAGTCGATGTGGAGGGTTTTCTTGGGAACAGCTCAGGGTTATTTCCATCACTGCTGGGCATGCTGAACGCTGGAAGCCCACAATTGTTCTGCACTGACTCTTTGCTTTCTGTGCATTTGTTTTAAATCATGAGAAAGCGGCCATGGGCACAAAGGGACCGGAAAATGAAAGGAATACGGCGCCAAACAATGTCTTTCTCCCGAAGAGCGTGCGTGAGGATCTGTTAAATAGGGAAATTTCTTAGAGGGTTGGTCCTTGAAGCAGCCAAACTTTGTCCCCTTTTCAGGCTGTGCGAGCGTGGGTGGAGAGAGCGAGCAGGGCTTTCTGGCTCCTTCTATCTTAGAAGCCAACCTCCGCGGACGGCAGTGACCGGGAAGGACAGACAGACTCACAGTGTGGGGCTCAGTCAGCCACACATGCAACTGAAAATTCCGACAATCAAGATGCTGATAAGATTCTCTGGAACCCAATCAACATTACTATTCTTCTCCTTATCTTATTTACTTTACTTCTTCCTTTAGGAAAAAGGAAATTAGTATTAATGGTCCCTTATATAAACTACATTGAAAATCATTTCCTAATAAAGAGAAGGAGACAGAGTAGGTGGCCTCTCTTCTTTTCCTTCCTCTTTCTCCCTCTCCTTTTGGTAACCTATAAAGTGACCTTCCTTTTTGGAAAGTTGAAGGTGCAGGAGAGACCTACCATTTCCGCCATCACAGTTTATAAGCAATGGAAGGGATTGTATGTAAAAGTCCGGAATTGAGCGGCAGAGGACTTTCTGACAGGTCTGGCCAGCAGGAGTGCTCAGTCCTTCATCCGCCCCCCTCCCGCCCCGCCTTCCCTCAAACGTACAAAACACACCACTGTGCACAAACTACCCGCAGACAATTCTTTATTCAAAAATGACCTTTTAGAACCTGTCATCCTCTCACTGCCTGGTTTCCAGCCCCAGAAGGAAAAGAAGTAAAAAAGCAGAAGAAAAACACCCTCGGACAAAACGCAGAACTGGACAAAGGAGACAAGGATGCAATGTTTGAATTGGATACTTTGTGGTAGACGGCAAGCGTCCTTAGAAACTAACAATTTGTCTTGAGAAATAGTAGAAAATGGGAGAAAGCGTTTTTTCTCACACAGGAGAAGGGAGCTTGAGGACCCGTCTCCAAGCCCTAGAATGAAAACAGGGATTGTAGCTCCGGCCAATCATGTGCAGTTCTGCAGGACTTCGTTCAGGGCAGGAAGCCAAACTCCGAATGTGACACGAAAAGTTCCAAGTCACATAAAAAAGAAAAGAAAGAAAGAAAGAAAAAAAAAAGACTGGAGGACTTTACGCCACCTAGAAAGTGGCGTTCACATTTGATCAGGTGCCATACCCCACACCCCGTGTCCTAGCCCAGTGGTCGGCAAACTCACCAGTCCACAGAGCCAAATATCAACAGCACGACGATTGACATTTCTTTGGAGAGCCACATTTTTTTAAGACGTAAACTTCTTCGAACGCCACTTCTTCAAAACAGACTCGCCCAGGCAGTAGTATTTTGTGGAAGAGCCACACTCAAGGGGCCAAAGGGCTGTATGCGGCTCGCAAGCCGCAGTTTGCTGACCACGGTCCTAGTGGGTTTAAGGGGACCTCTGACTTCACCAAGCCCCTCTTGTCCCGGCAGCTGGGGCCGAGGTGGCCTTATGCTGACAGGGTCCTGCTCTGTCCACCATAGCAGTTCTCAAAGTGTGTAACCTGAGAATGTGGGGGGACTCTGAGATCCTTTGGGGTAGGTCCATAAGCCCACAGCTATATTGATAAGAATATTGACATGCGCCGAAACCGGTTTGGCTCAGTGGATAGAGCGTCAGCCTGTGGACTCAAGGGTCTCAGGTTCGATTCCGGTCAAGGGCATGTACCTTGGTTGCGGGCACATTCCCAATGGGGTGTGTGCAAGAGGCAGCTGATCGATGATTCTCTCATCGATATTTCTAACTATCTATCCTTCTCTCTTCCTCTCTATAAAAAAGCAATAATATATATATATATATATATATATATATATATATATATATATATATATATATAAAATATATATTTTTTTTAAAGAATACTGACATGCTATTTGCTTATTTTAAAAAATTGCTGATATTTACACTGATGGCGTAAGAGCAAAGGTAGGTAAACTGCTTTTGTCTCAGGCCTAATGAAGGAAGTGTAACCTACAGTTTAAAAAGGCCAGCTCTATGTAAGATGAAGCGGTGAAATGGTTAACTGTATTAAACCTGGACCCTTGAATGCACATCTTTTCTTTTTCATTTTCTGTGTCAGAAGATGGGGGATACACAAAAAGAACACATCGGGGACTTTGCCACCTGGGCAGGTGTGACCGCTGTCTCGGAGAAAAGCACCTGTGCGACCAGGTTGTAAGCCGAACTAGACGTTAATTTTTCTCATAAACACCATTTTTGCTTGAAAGAATTATTTGGACTTAGATATTTGGCAGGCATTTTCTCAAATGATGAATGAAATGAGACTGTGTTTTCAAGGAAAACAACTGGCAGGATTTGTTGTGTTTGTTGCCAAGGATAGAAAGCTTGCTTTCGAGTTAAAATCAGAATTTTGGAGAACTTGTATCCGCCACAGTGAGCTTGGCAGCTTTCTGGTACGTAAAAGTCTTCTGATGACATTGGCGTTGATATAGCTTATTAACAAGTGTTATTTTTTTTCACATGGTAAAATGAAGTATGTCAACATTTAGAATATTTATGTAATTCAGGGACCCAATATTTCCCAAGTGACCAAATACATTGCTAGAAAAGTCATACGTGATTAAAAATGTCCAATCAAAGTGCAAATGACCATTGGATTTTAAAATAACAGAATACTGGAATGTTTGCTGGTATGGTTTCAGATTTCTTACTATTTCTAACCTTTAATACATTTTTAAAAAATTACCACTTGTCAAGTCTGGATAGAGTATCAAAGAAGATCTACAGGTATCTGCATAAGCTATTAATTTATTTCTCCTCTGCCAACTACTTATCCACGTGAGGCTGACTTTTATTACTGTACTTCAATAAAACAACATATTTCAAAAGACTGAACGTGGAAGCTGTTATTAGAACCCAGCCCTCTTCTATTCAGATAAACATGAAAGAGATTTGCAAAAATGTAAGACAGTGCCACTTTACTCACCAATAGTTTTCTGGCTTGGAAAATATAGGTATTTTTCATAAAACATATTATTTAAGTTAGCATATAATAGATTTGTTATTCCTTTAAAAAGGATTGATACATATTCTTCAAGTTTCTCAGCTTTAATTCTTTAAGTCAGGTTTTTCAACCGCTGTTCCGCGGCACAGATGTTGCCTGATGTGCCGTAGGTGCAGACAAGACAAGAATTTTATAATTTTTCACTATTTTGTTTACTTAATATTTCATAATAAA